GAGATTAGCGATTTAGTTGGTAGTAAATGTCTCAAGTGTGACGTAACAAAAACTTTGGAGCTTGGATATGAAACTAGGAGGGCTCTGCTTCTACCCTGGTGGACCACTACTTACCTTACAAAAAATTTAATGGACGAACGGAATTAGATAATGCCTTTTTGTAGTTTTGTCAATTTTAAACATGGGAAATTCTATTCCGAGGAAATGGAAAAGTTGGCAACATGTTGGCAGAAATATATTGATAGTAGTGGAGACTATTTGGATTAAATAAAACAGTTGGAAATCTTTCTTTTTAAACCAAAAACCTCCTATGTTATTTTAACGTTTAGAAGAGTTTGGCATGCTGTTTCAAGAAGTGTGGTTGTATTCAGAGAGAGGTTATAGCAATGTTTACTTTTATATATAACTGATAAATTCAATTTTAATGTATTAGGTTTAAATTGTAATGTAACTGTTGAAACTCAAAATCCCACTTATATTATTACTTTCACTTACGTATAAATGAAATATATAGTAAGTGTAAGTATTGCGATCGTGAAAATTTTCGAATCTCAGTTTTCAACGGAAATACGTGTTTTGAGGTCCCCTGAGTCCAAATAACCAAGTGTCGCAAAATGGTCTGTGTCTGTGTGTATGTGTTAACAGTCTAGCTCATAAACGAAAAGTAGTACGAAACTGATATTAAGTATTTAAGGTTTGTATATGGGCCGGATGTGACAGCAACTTTTTCGTTAAAATTGGCTAACTGGAAGTGCCACTTTATATGAATGCTGAAACACATTTTTAAAATTTTCTCAAAAATGGCTCTAACGATTTTGATTAAACTCAGTGTATCATTGTATAATTAAGTGGTCTTTAATATCATTTAGGTCTTATCCCCGTTGATGTCACTTTGCAGGGCTTAAATGCCCAATGTTCATATGCATCTTCCTCTAAAGTACCTTTAATATGGTTTATTTTAAATAATCAATTATCTCTCTTTATTAAAAGTTATGAAAAAATGCTAAATATAACTTTTGAAAGAATTTGGTAATTAAATAAAGGAGATAAAAATAAAAATGCCTATCCAGGTCGAAAATGAATCTCTGGAAACACTAGTCCAAAGATATACGTATAATATATCGTTGGAAACCGGAGAATTTTAGAAAAAAAACAATATCGAATATAGAAAGTTGTAAAAGGTAACGGAGATTGGCAAAAAAAAATTATAAATATTTTTTGAAAACTTATAATATTTAACGTGAATCACATGTTTACAAGGAAATTAAATGAAATTTATTAACTAAATTCAACCTTTTAAAATATTTAAGATCCACCTAATAAAGGCAATGACATTGATTAAATAACTATTTCATTGTATTTGTGTGAAAGAAGAAGTAAAATATAAAATCATTCCATGCATAAGTTTATAACCTTAAATATATTTACTGTAGTTTTATAATTTTATTACAATCCATAATCAACCGGTGATATAATAAATAGGGTTTTGGTTATTTTAATGGTATTTATTATTTTTAGCAGTAATTTTTTTAGCTTCAGCTCAGTTAAAAGTGTAATTCAAAAATTTTATAATAGCCCGATATGGCCAAACATTATTTCTATTCAAAGTTTAGCGGTAAGTGAAAGTTGTGTGTTACCCTCACCAGATTTTTTTTTCATTTGATTGAGAATTTCATCATTTTTTTCATAAATATGTGGTTGCATTGAGGTATTGGAAGAGAGATTTTAGCTAGAGATATGTTTCTATATCGAGTAGCAGACCATTTTCCCATCAGGCAAAAACTTATTTGATTTACATTATAATATATCTTTTCAAATCCCACTAATATTATTTCATAGCCTCATTGATTATTTTTGCATTTGGTTGAGAATTTGATGCTGTTTTCATTAATATGTGCTTGTATTGGATCTCTCTCCAAATAGATTTTATCTACAGATAGTTTTAAATATGTGTATCACTATTTTGAACATTTATATTTATGAATTTTTTTATACATGAAAAGAATATATATTGTGGTATCAGAAAATTCTCTAATTAAATTGATGACAAATGAATGAATTTTGAAAGTGTTAGTATTGGTTTTACATGAGAAAAGCAAACAGAAGAGATAAATGTTGGTTTTGAGCTCAAAATGTCTTCCCAAGTTGAAATATTTCAAAAGTTTTAAAGCCCCGAATTGTGAAACTAATGTAGAATGGTTAGAATTTGCTATTTTTACTTAAATGTCTATTTACATTATTTAATATTTCATTATTACCTGAGGGGGTTGGGTTAGGAGCTCTACCCACAAGTAATAACACACACCCTAAGTGGTTCTTTCTTCTTCTTTCTTCACGGATATTTTGACATATTTCCTTTTTACCTCATTAAATTTTTATCACGTTTCCATTGTTTTTAGTTAATTATTTTCAATTATGAACCTTAGTAGTCCTCAAAGACAAAACGAAATTAACTCCCACATCTTCCCTTGAGAATTTGAGATAGGTATCCTCAAGATTACGATTTGCGGGGCTACTGAAAGATGGTAATGACGTTGAGAAAATAAAAAAAAAATTCTCAAACACGATAAGTCTTTTAATTTCAAAAATATCGGAATCGCCTTTGGCTGAGTCTTTCATATCAGAGTTTTTTAATGGCTGAAAATAATTTTTAAAATGAGGCTTGTTAATATTTTCTGGAAAGGCAGTTGTTACCTAGGGTTACCCGCACTTTTCAAATTAAAAAAGGGCAAGTATCCAACGGTTCACTCAATGTATTATGGTGGATCGGGAAGGCGCTCATGAAATAACTAAACATTGAAAATTATTTATGAAACCTACGTTTCGACCCAACTATGCAGGTCTTCATCAGGGCTAGAAACATCAAGATACATGGAATAATGTAACTAGTATACGATAAGATTAATGATATAAAAAAGAACTATTACCATAATTAATACAAAGTAGTGATGTCATATAAACATCAAACAAACTAACGATTATAAGGATATGATGTTCAGAGTAATTTAGAATTGGTAATACTCTATGCAGATTGGGAGTTACCAAACACCGTTAAAAGGATGGTTGATTCACTTGGTCATAAATATAATATTGTATAACTAACATAAATGAAGATAAGAAGAAAGAAGGAGTGTATTAGAATGTTAGAAGGGATAAAGGAACAAGTCGGCGGAAAGGTGAACAAATAAAAAAAGAACAATTTGCTTTACAGCAGGAGAGAGGAGTAGATCAAGGGGGGGGGGGAGGAGATTTGCCTCAAATCTCTGAGGTTTGGAGGTATAGAGGTAAGCAAACAATTTTTTCCTCTATTATTTGATTGCCCAAGCTTTCGACCGGGTGTGGCACGATGGCTTGCTTTTCAAGCTCAAAACCCATTTACCTCAACCCTTGTATCTAGTCCTCAAATCCTACCTTTCAAATCGCTCCTTTCAAGTCCGCTGCGGCACTGAACTCTCCAAACATTATCCAATTGAGGCTGGTGTCCCACAAGGCAGTGTCTTGGGCCCAGTTCTCTACATCCTTTTTACCGCTGACATCCCTTCAAGTCCTGATACCTTCCTAGCAACATTTGCTGATGATACTGCCATCCTATCCTCCCACTCGGATCCTCTAATTGCGTCCCGGAACCTGCAAACCTCTCCTTCATTGAGCAGTGGTGCAACAACTGGCGCATCAAAATTAATGAATCAAAATGCAAACATGTAACTTTCACTCTTCGACGCAGATCCTGTCCGCCAATCCTTTTTAATTCAATTCCTCTTCCCTACTCAGACACAGTCCGATACCTTGGCTTCCTTCTGGACAAAAGACTGACTTGGAACCCACATACGAGACTTAAAAGACAAGAGCTTAACCGACGATTTGGTCAGCTGTATAGACTACTAAACAGAACATCTCATCTCTCAACAGAAAACAAATTATTAATCTACAAGACCATACTGAAACCTATCTGGACCTACGGACTTGAGCTGTGGGGGACAACTAAATCATCGAATATCAAACGCATCCAATCCTTCCAGTCTAAAGTCCTTCGAACAATAGTCAATGCTCCATATTATGTCACGAACAAGACCCTACACCATGACCTTAACATCCCATATGTCCATGACATCATCCCATCCAGATTCTCCAACTTTCACCAGAACCTCATACATCATCCCAATCCTCTAGCCCAATCCCTATCCAGCTCCGAGCATCCATACCATCCCCCTCGAAGGTTGAAACGGCAGTGGCCTCGAGATCTTTTGTAAATATGCCTTTGGAGTCCTGGCAATGGCCAGCTTCTCCACTCATGTCCTGAGCGTCTGTGGCTCTAGTGCCCTCTTTCAGTCTCCACTGGCTTCTAATACTAGTGATGCGGCTGGAAAAGTGGCGCTGGGATCTTCCGGAGTCTAGCTTTCTCTTCCACGTGTGGGGGAAAAACCCTGGTTCGGAGATTCTTGGACGAATGTATATATTGTATATAGTTATGATTGTGTTTAGAAGTTTTTATTTTATTTTATTTGTTTATTATTATTATTTTTTCTTTTCTTTTTATTTATCTTCTTCATCAGTATTATTTATTTACTTCTTATATTTATATTTATTTCTTTATTATTTGTATATATTGTATGAATGAGAACTTTTAGCCCTAATGCTTATAGCCCTCCAGCAGTGGCTGCATGTATTATTATTCAATAAATAGATAAAAAAAAAAAAAAAAATTATTTGATTAGATATGTCGTTGGCGATGAGAACCATTGTAGTCCATTTATACTCTTTATGTAACTATTCCTGTCATAAGTATTGTAACAGGGAAATATATACAGATTTCAACATAAAAATTAATTTTTTCAAAAACTTTAATAAAATGTATATCTATAAAGAGTAAAACAAAAAATAAATTACTCAAAATGTCTCCCTTTTACCTTTACACAAGCGTTTAATCTCCGTGGCCAGTCATCAATAGCAGCACGCAGCGCTCAACTGCTCGGACTAGAGATTGTTTGAGGATTTTCAAGTTAGGGTGTGCTCTGTGGCATGTCATCCTCTCCAGTTCGGACCAAAGCCGATAGTCTAATGGATTGAGATCGGGGCTTCCTGAGGGCCAATCCGAGGCAGAGGTGAACTCTAGAATATTCTTTTGCTGTCACTGCTGAGTTGACCTGGTCTTGTGAGCTGAAGCGGGATCCTGCTGGAAAACCCAATGACTTCCAGCAGAGTATCATTTAGAGGCTTGGCAACAGGTTCCTCTTTACATTCTTCTAATGACTTCCTGACCTTCTTTAGAGCTGTGTGCTTACGGCACGATCATTTTGGCGATTAAATTTTTTAAAGTTTCAATTGTAAAAGATGTCCCCCTTCAATTGAAAAAGTTTTCTCATCGCTAAACAAAATCTTTCGACGAAAACGATTGATGTAACGGTGAAGGAGCACTTTGGATCTATCCACTCTCGTTTTTTTTTTTTAGGGAAGTGTTAGTAGCCTTAACCTGTCATTCTTGGAAATGCAGCCATCCTAAGGTCACTTTTTATTATGTGAAACATTGATCTGACAGAGATGCCATTTTCCGAGACATGATTTGTTGTTTTCAAATATTCAAAAATAATTGGCATAGGCAATAAAACACACTAGTAAACTATCAATTTTTTCCACAACGAAAGAAAGTGGACAAAATCTCGGAAAAGAAAACAAGGATCAGTATACCATTATATGGCTAAACGAATATATAGTAAACAGATGAACAGAATATTTCAAGATGCTGCTAAAAGGGGGTCAAATGATGGAGCAGTTTGGATGATATTAAGTGGACGATGCAGGTTTATAATGGTGAAGATCATTTTATCGGAATGGAAGATTTGTAGGCAAGTCAGCATGGTTTGACGAAGTAAACTAGGTTTATTGTGATGAAAACAACTTTATTTTCAAATGCTACTGAAGTTAGACATTAGGACTATCTTTACATCGAAGCATGTTATAGAGAGGTCTATCGAAAAAGTGAAATAGTTCTCCTTCCGTTTAGTGCATTTGCAAAAGATTTTTTAAGGAATCCAAAAAGAAAATTAGCTTCCTAAATTCTGAAAGACTAGTAGATATTAGCACAATCCAAAGTGTGAGGCACTAAACAGATTGAGAGCTATTTCTTTCTTGATGGACTTAGTTTAATCTGCCTTGAAGTGAAGACACAATTTGCAACTTATTTTCCAATGTGAAACTTGATTTTTCAATCTATATCGCTCTGGCAATCGACAATATATCTTCTTCTAGTTTCTTCGATTCTTGAGTACAGTTTCTTTAGGACACTAAACAAGGATGAATCTCGATGAGTATTAAATTTCCTAGTATCTCCTTTCTTGTAAAGGGACAAACTACAGTCCTTTCATATAATTTTCTAATACTTTTATTGCCTAAAAAAGCGCAAAACAGTGCAAAGCAGTTCAGCTTACTTCATCCAGACCACAACTACTTGCCAATTGCTTCGAACAAATCTTTCTTGCTGATAAAATGGTCTTCACCATAATAAACCTCCATCGTCCCCTTAATATCGTCCAAACTGCTCCAGCATTTGAGCCCCTTTTTCCAGCATCTTGAAATATTCTGTTCATCAGTCCACTATACATTCGTATAGCCGTATAATGGATACTGATCCTTGTTTTCTTTTCCGAGATTGTGGCACTTCCTTTCTCGTTCGTTAAATTATTTGTCCAATTTTTTTGGTTCAATTTCGCGTTTTCCCTTATTTTGAGACCAACTTAGAGCTACGCCCATTCCAGCTTTCTTTGTGCAGAGAAAATAATGCTTTCAATATTAAAACTTCCTATTTTTTAGTGATATGGCCCAACTTCCTAACTAAATAAAGAGAATAAAAATTAATTTGGGTAATTATTTACAAGTGGTACTCCTCCCGCCATCTTGGTTCAGAATCAAGGTTTACAAAATATAATATAGCACCAGAAAACGCCACTATTGCGGAGGGGTCGTCTTGTCCCCTCCACCTCAGCTTTTTAAGTAAATGTAGAAATTATATCGTTTAGGTTAGATATTACCCGCTTTTTTTTAAAGTTAGCATTCTTTCCCCACCATTTTCACTTCATAGAAAATAAATATTGATTGAACACCCATTCCAATTCCCATCTTATCAACATAATATTATTTATGCTTATTGTTTTTATTTATATTCTGTCAATCAAACCGATTTTCAGTCTAATAGGCTACATACTGTCATAAACAATCTGTTTTATTGACAGAAATTCATTAACTTGAATTTTGTTTTAATTGTGACACTTTATCTAAATCTTTAAATACTTAAATAGTTGACCATTGTATATTTTAGATATTTAGATTGTATACATTAAATTTTTAAATACTTGATGGTTAACCACTCTAATATTAGATTGTATATATTAAACAATTTACAATTTTTTTTAAGGGTTTTAATCCAGGCTAAGTGTCATCCTTTTCAATTATATGTTACTTAAATCTTCTTCTATCGATCAAACACATTTTCATTCTACTGAGCTACACACTCCCATTCCAGATTCTAATAAAAATGTTTCAGAATCATGTAGGAGAGCTCTAGCGATTGAATAATAATCAAAGAACAAAACACTACTAACATTCTGAACTTGTCATCAGTATTACGAGTTCTTAGCGATTGGTTCCTTGATGTTTGATTGAATTTAATACATTTTCAAAATTTTCCTGTTTTTTCCTTCCTCCCCTTTAAGGCTATATGGGGTTTCCCCATGCCAAGGGGTAAGGGCAGAGGATTAATGCCAGAGTTAATACTCCTCCTTGGAACCTCACATTTTCCACATAATTAACTATGCCAATCATCATATCTGTTTGATGGACAAGTATCTTAGCAGCCTGTATGTAATAATATACAAAAAGCAATGCTCCAGGAGGTATTTAGTTAAGGAGTTATCTTTTTCAAATGTTGCCGAAATTATGTGTCAACTTGAGCCTGCAAGATTTATAACAGATGATTTAAATATATTTTTACCTATACATCTCAATTATTCACATTTGGTTATTGCAATTCCTAAATTGTCTTAATCTGCAAACCAATTTAAATTATCTGACCAGTTATTCCTAGCCATCACTATTGTTGTCTACTCACATTATCTGTATCTACTTTTTTCATTGTATTGTCTGATTAATTTTTCTAAATGCTGTCGTGTATTCCGCCAGGAGCAACTCTTTACCTTCTTCTTCATTAAGGCTAAAAATGTAGGCTGCTACCAAGCTAGAGCCCATCTCCTAGGAAGCTATACCCTGTCAATAAACCTCTCCATCTGTCTAACTTATTTCAATCTAAAATTAAGTTAAGTAGTGTTAACATTTGGCAAAATATTATTCCGATTTGTTTAATTTGTTTTTTTGTTTTATTGTAACTTGTTAGTTTTTAATTTATTTATATTTTATTTTATTTTTTTGTTACAGACTGCAGAATATTCTTCTTCCAACAGTTTTAAAACATCAAAACGTAAGCATTTTATGTACCCGTTTATCAACAATTATTATCTGTATTTCATTTTAATGAGTTTATTGATAAAATAGATTCAATGAGCAATGAGCTACTCCACTACTATTACTTAATTAATCACTGCAATGTAATATTTATCAATAAGGAATTTTTAACAAAAATTAATTAATTCACTTACTAAGAGCCTTCCTTGAAAGTCTTATTTGGTGATATCAGATCAAAAAATATCCCCTGTCCGATGGCATTTTATTTAATTTAAATTTGTTCATGTTGTGGTATTTTACCTTTGCTCAGAATGGATTTCTTGGATAGAATATACCAATCTGTCTTGTTTTTGTATTTTTAAATAAGAAACAAATTGCTGATTATACTAAATTAATTCGGATGTATATGAAATGACACCACTTTACAATAATTGCTTACGCCCATTAAAACCTAAAAGTACCCCATCGATATTGAAATAAAAAATTATAAATATTTGGCCTTGTAATTTATTGGGAAAAAATTAGTTTGTGGGCCAGACCCCCTTACCGTGCACCCCCCTCCACCACCCCACCACATCCCTATAAATTGCATGTCGCTATATTTCTTGTGACTATTTATTACAAAAAGCCAATGTTCCCTAAAAAAAAAAGTGAATGAACTGCCATAAAATGACCTCCAAGCATGGTGGACTGACGACTTTGTTTTTAGTTACTTTTTTGGTACTGAAAAACAACAAGTAAAGACAACTTTTTTAACAAAAACAATTTCAAGTTGAAAATCAAGTGTCGTTTGTAACTAAGCGTCCAACAATAACGCAAAGCGTCTGAAGAATATATTTCTCTTTCAAAAACACTGATTACTTTTTAAAATATTTGAAGCAGTTTTGTAGAAAATGCACTTAAGGGGCAGAAAAGCGGTACTGGCGTAGGTGCCTACAGGCCTCTACCACACCATTCAGTACACATAAATGGCTTAGTTATAGTGATATAATAACGTTTTTGGTACATCATATTGGTTGTATTAACGAAGAAATATTAATGTAATAATTTAATTTTTTTTTTTAATTAAACAATTGCAACTTCTTTTCCAATGTGCAACTTGTGTTTCAAAATCCATATCGCTCTGGCAATCGACAATATCTTATTCTATCTTCTACGATTCTTGAGTATAGTTTCTTTGGTACACTAAACTGGAATGAATCTCGATGGATATTGTATTTCCTAGTATATCCATTCTTATAAAAGGATGAAACTACAGTACTTTCAGTTAATTTTTTAATACATTTATTGCCTAAAAAAGCGCAAAACAGTACGAAGCAGTTCGGTTTACTTTGTCTAGACCACAGCAGACTTGCCAATTGCTTCGAACAAATCTTTCTTGCTGTCAAAATGGTCTTCACCCTAATAAACCTGCATCGTTACCTTAATGTTATCCAAACTGCTCCAGCATTTGACCCCCTTTTAGCAGCATCTTGAAATATTCTGTCCATCTGTCTACTATATGTTTGTTTAGCCATATAATAATGCATACTGATCCTTGTTTTCTTTTTCGAGATTTCGGCACTTCCTTTCTTGTTCGCATTTATGTATTTACGTATTTTTCCAAAGTTTGGGTTCAATTTCTCGTTTTCCCTCATTTTGAAACCAAATAATAACAATCAGTTCCAGTTAGGAAGCTATAGAAGAACTTATAGCTTCGCCCTTTCCATATTTCTTTGTGCAGAGAGAATAATGCACTCAATATTAAAATTTCCTATTTTTTTTTTTTACTTGATCCGAAACTTCCGAACAAAATAAAAATTAATTTTTTTATTAGTGATATATGAGTTTTACTAAACAACCCATCAACTATTCATTATATGTAGTTCAGATTATATATGCATATATTA